TTAATATTGTGGACTTGTAAGCGCTTATAGTAGGTACTTTAATTTATGCAACACTTATAACACTGTAATTTTTGCTTTGTAACTTTTTTTATAATCATAATATTGTAGACTTTATAAAATTACAAAGGCAGTGTCATTATTCATTAATTATAAATTATCATCATTTGTATTATTATTATTAATATTATATACTTAACGTATTTACGTATATATATATATATATATATATATTTTAAACCATGTTGTAGTCGATGTTCTCTAGACATCCCAACGATCAGGGGCGTAATTAAGGGGTAATGAGGGTGATAGATCCCCCAAAACTAAAATTTAATATTTGGTGGGGTAGGTTACTGTATGATGCTTACAGATTTTGCTAAAAACATATAATCCCCCTCCCCAAACCAAATTCCTAATTACGTCACTGCTAACGATAAGCCGATCATTAAATAGATAATCGTATCGTTGAGCTAAATTGCGTCGCACAACTTGGCATCGTCTCATTAAATTTCTTTCGAAGTCGAGTCAATTTTTGGGTGCAAAATAATACCTTTAGTTTTTGTTATATAGTGATCATTCACAATCCTGTTTCACCCATTTATTTCAGGTATTTCTTAATATATAATATGTCTACGTGTTTTCAACGTTACCGCATCATCTATAGGCTAMTTCATGAATTGTTACACCAGAATATTATTATCAAATTATTTTTTTTTAAACAAATTATAAGCAACAATTAAAGCAATATAATTAATTTTAAGACATATTAATCAATCAATAAATAATTAGATTATGTTATCGATTTTTATGAATCAATTATTTGCTGTGGACTCGATTTAAATTGTTTAATATCGCTAAACTGACTATCTCATCATTCTACAGGTTCGGGAACGTGTGTATATTTGTACTTGGCTGAGGTATGCCCTACCAAGTTTCGGCCACTGTACTTCTCGGTGGTCATCGTGTTCGTGGGAATGGGAATGGTGGCCGAGAGCGTGATGTCCTTGTACATCGATTGGCGGACCGTGTCACTGATACTGTTCGTGGTCAGCACCGTCAATTGCGGGTCGCTGTTTCTAGTGCCAGAGACACCTATGTGGCTCCGGACCCGCGGCCGATCTCGGGAAGCGGACGCGGCCGAAGCGTGGCTTTGCATGGAACCGGCAAACGTCCCGGCGTCGGCCGTGGCACCGGTCAGCGGAATGACGGCCAATGGCGACGACCACCTATGCAGCGAATATGGCACCACGGCCACGGRCAAACCGATCAGTGCTGCGTACTGGACGCTGTTCACCGGACCAACTGTCTGGAAGCCGACTTTGATAACTACGCTGTTCTTTATCTGCCAGCAAGGTAGTGGGTTCTACGTGCTGCTGTTCTACTCGGTTGACATACTTCATGACTGCCGCGTCCAGTGGGATGGCGTCACCGTCACCGCATTTTTGTCCCTGTCCCGAGTCATCGGTAGCGTGATCTACGCCATGCTGCACCACGTCCGCCGGAAGACACTGGTCGTCGTGTCCGGCGGTGGCATGGCCCTGTCGCTGACCGTCATCATACTTTACATGCGCATGTACAAAGATGTGGCCACGCCACCTTATGGCGAGGTCCTCGTGTTTGCTTTTATCACCTACGTGTTCTTTGCCCTGTTGGCCATACTCCCAATGCCCTGGGCCCTTTGTGGAGAGGTG